GTTATGTGAAAATAATCTTACACTAATCATACTTAATCGTTTGCTAATTATCATTTCCCAAGCTCCCTTTCGGTCTTAGTTCTGATGACGCAATACGATTTTTGAATGTTGATTTAATTTTTATTCGCAGTTTTATCTATCAGCTGGAGTTCGACGGCATAAAATAATTTTCTCTAAACTTATCACACATTATTTCAAATTCTCTGTTCTTGTCACGGAGTGAGTCCATAGTCACAGACTTCTGTTGAAACACGAAGAAAAAGTGTTACGTTATCTTCTCTAACAACATAAAATTTAATTTTAAAAGCAAATTATAGGAATTTGTAGGCATTACTCAGTGTTATGCCAGATTGGGGTGCGCAAATGATCACGGGAAGTCAAATACCCTTCATGCAATGCAACCAGTAAAACGAGCAAGAGAAACGACTGGGTACAAGTCTGGTGTTATTCAACATTTCCTTGATGTTCAAATCAAAAAAGAAAAACATCTAAAAGTCTTTACTTAAAAAATATAAAACGCGCGCGCGTCTCTGTCCTCTGATATAAACACGGTTGGAGTTGAAAAACACGAGAGAAGCAAGCTTAGAAACACGGTCGCCAGCCAATCAGAGCTCGAGTTATATATAAAAAATTTAATAATTTTAATCAGTAATAAAAGAGATAAGCAAAGTTTACTCACATTGTACTCGTGTGTCTTTTCCATGGTAAGAAGGCGTCTGGAGATATTCGTGAATAAGTTTTGCTCGCTGTTTGCCACAAGTCGAAAGCATGGATGATGAGGGACTTTGCTGTCGGAATAACTGAACGAAACAAGTACACTTTTATTGTTTGAACATTTTTGAAAAGAGCAGAGAAATCTTTGTAAATAGGGTAGAATGTTTTGTACACCTTGTTTCATTGTAAAGAATGAAGAAGTATCGAACACTTGTTGGATGTATTAAGAACAGACATAAGAAAAGACTCTTGGCAATTTTGGCAACACTCAGGGACTATCTATCACTGACTGCTGTCGCTATAAACACCATAACACATTTCAGGGGGGGATCCAGCTGGTTGATGCAGGGGGTGCACACCCCTTCTGGAAATTGGCCACCCAGTGATCCATTTTTTATTCGGAGAATAAATGTCAATTTTTGCATATTAGGGTGAACACTGCTTTGACCAGAAATTGGAAAACGTTGTGTACAAATTATCGGTGGTCACACTTTTAGAGTTACGGCTCTTTTCATTCATTGTGGAAACTAAGAATTGAAACTAGCATCTGGCTGTGGTTAGGAACCTTTACACTACCTTGGTTTGTAGACAGGTAACCAAAATACAAGCCGACCATTTAAACAGAGATACTGTGACGAGAAGTGCAGTAGACTTAGTATAATATCTGATAACCGTCCAAGATGGATCGATGGATAACCAAGCTCTGCATCTGATCTGGTGACCGATGACAATACTGATTATTAATGGTGACTAATAACAAATACAAACCTAATCTGACCCTAATCATAACACTAATCCGACCTTATTTCGACCGAATACGACTATAATCCATCCTAATACGTCCCAATTCAACCATGATCGGGTCACATCTAGCCCAACCATACTGATCAATATCTAGTCGGACCCCAATCCGACCAATCTTAGTCTGAACACCACAGAACCCTAAACCAAMYCTTATCTGACCCTCAATACGGTACGAACTTTAACCAAGTGCGCTAGAACTGAAAAAATACTTCATCCTATCTTAAGATAGCCTCTCCTTTTGACGGGCTTCCTGAGATGGGCTTCCTGTCCCTCCCAAAAGTGTAGGGGGAAAATGGATGAAACCGGAAGTTGCGGCTGTGCGAGAGACTAATCTTAAGATCTCTGAATGTAGTCATTTCAAAGATATAGTTACCTATTCTCAGTAAGTTCTTTTTCAGATATTTGACTGCGAACACCTTCACGGACTCCATAAGGAGCTGAAAACAATGAAACAATGGTTTGAAATAAACAAAAGTAAACAAATAAAAGATAAATAAATAAACACTTACGATCAGTGATGATTGCGTCAAAGATAGGCGTTGGTCGAAGTACTTGCCTGGAAGCATCGGCCACCATAACATCCACAAACAAATGCTCCAAGCCAGCATTAATGAAATTAGTGCGAATTATTTCATCTCTTTCTGAAAAATGCACAAAATTCCTGTATAAGTGTTAATTATTACATATTTTCAATTCTTTGATATACTTATCTATTAATCACATTTAAAAGCTAATAGTCCAGCAGTCAAGCATGGATTTTAACCAAAAGCTTGCAAATGCTTCTATATAATAAATGATGAAAGAACTCTTAGAAGGACAATAGAATACCGAAGTGATGATGTCACAAAACGAACATTTTTGAGTTTATAAAATTGGCCTCCATATTCTGAAAGTAGTGCATCATTTTCAATGCATTGTTGCTAAAGTTGAGAGTGATAGTTCCATTCATAACAGATAAATAAGCGACTTTATGGTTAAAAATGTATTCTTTATACTTTACATAAGAATACTTGTATTCGCAGCTATCAATATTCAAGCCTCACTCATCCATCCATCCATTACTACACATATTAATTGACGTTAGCTGAAGGGTCGCTCAGATCAGTACTTACTTCTCCACTTGCACTTGCTTGAAGCACGTGATGACTTCCCTTCAAGGTAAACAAATGAGCAAACGAATGAATGAAACAA